ATGACCAGGGGTATTTTTTTTAACTTTGGCACAGAGCAGCCGCTGCCACTTGACAGTCAAGGGCGTAGGGAGGATAATTTTATCATCAAAAGGCGTTATACAACAACACTTTGTCAAGCAATCCTAGTCAAATGGCAGTGAGCCACAGCTGGATTGTGACCATTCACTTTTTTAGGTTCAAGAAGAGAAAATACATTTACAGGGTTATTCACAAAAGGGTGCAGAGTTTGGAGAAGGCTGGAGAAGTGAACAATCTAGGCCAAAATAGCTGATTTGGAAAGATTCTCCAATTGAGCTCACTTTCCAGTTCAGCTATGTTGTCCTAGATGGTTCCCTTCTCCTGCCTTCTCCAAACTCTTCACCCTTTTGTAAATAACCCTGTTAATGAATAACAGTTATCCCCTATCAATAATCTATGTCTTGATATGTTATGAAGGCACACATCACCAGGACTTACTGCTAAGTGGCTTTACAGAAGACCTATCTAAAAAAAGACATATTTGTTGGTATTCATTTTAATTTTTCTCTTTGCCAGTTTTAGATGACATCCCTTAGACTAAACTCTAGTCAAACCTGTAAATACAGCAATTCATAAGTACTGCCCCTTGAAAGCTGTACTACAATCAGATAAAAACACATATAAATACAGCCCTCTGTATTGTAAGTACATGAATTAAACCTGTTATCATCCTCTTGCAGTAAGTGTACAGCAGCTTAGACTGGGAAAGGAAGAAGTAGTACAAGGAACAATTCATGAGTCCTTCAGGAGGTTTGGACCAAAAAAATTAAGCCAGCCCCCTGTCTAGCCCTACTTCTATCAGTTTTGTGAACAAGCATTACATAGGGCAAAAAGAAAGGAGGGGCACCTGTGTCACTCGAGAAATACATTTTAAGGGAAGTACAAAAATCTATATTTTTTTATCGTCCTTCAAGGGACACAGGAATGCAGAATAGTCTATGACATTTGGGATGTCCAAAAGCAATCCAACTGAGGGCAAAGCCAATAGAAAGATCAACAAATGTGGAATTCTGTTTAGAATCAACAGAATGAGGACTTGATAAATAACAATTTACCAAATATGGAGAAGGACATTGTCAATGGAGATATGTGGAGTCAACCTGGTATTTTAATCAGGACTGACAAACTCCAAAAGAAAATCTGTACTTGTAGCAAGCCACTTCCATCAACAATGTGGAGGACAACCAATCATCCACCTTATATATGAAATATAGGTGAAGAAATACTAACCAAACAGGAAATGAACTTAGATCAGCAGTTGAGTTGGTCAGCAAAGGTGTGGAAGTCTAGGCCTAATATGCCAAACCCTTAACTTCAGGGAAGGAAGCCATTAGGATAAGGGAGGTATAGATTATGAGAGATGTTCCCAGTCAAGAAGCAATCTGTAAAAAGATTTGTAGGGATATAAGAGCTTACTAAAAATAAAATAAAATGGAAAGTAAAGTTGACCATCAAGAACCAGCCGCAATTCGCCCCCCTGGAAGGTCCTGTATGCAGCCTCCCGCATGACATGAAAATCGATACCTGCCGCTGTCTGAATACAAAAACCCAGCAGGAGGGATTTCTTCATCCTCACTGTTAGCGTGGATGGGAAACCAAGAGTTTTTTTCTCGTTCACTGATGGGTTGTGAGTAGGGATGCACCGATACCACTTTTTTAAGGCCGAGTACGAGTATCCAGAGAACACGTCTCCACTTCTCTAGAGTCCAGTAATGGAGTGTTTTACACCACTGCATCTGACGCTTTGCATTGCACTTGGTGATGTAAGGCTTGGATGCAGCTGTTCGGCCATGGAAACCCATTCCATGAAGCTCTCTACGCACTGTTGTTGTGCCAATCTGAAGGCCACACGAAGTTTGGAGGTCTGTAGCTATTGACGCTGCAGACAGTTGGTGACTTCTGTGCAATGTGCGCTTCAGCACGCGCTGACCTCGCTCTGTCATTTCACGTGGCCTACCACTTCATGGCTGAGTTGCTGTTCCCAGTTGCTTCCACTTTGTTATAATACTACTTGTATACAACAGTTGACCGTGGAATATTTAGTAGCAAGGAAATTTCACGGATGGACTTATTGCACAGGTGGCAACCTATAACAGTACCACGCTTGTATTCACTGAACTCCTGAGAGCGACCCATTCTTTCACAAATGTTTGTAGAAGCGTCTGCATACCTAGGTGCTTCATTTTATACACCTGTGGCCATGGAGGTGATTGGAACATCTGAATCCAATGATTTGCAGGGATGTCCCAATACTTTTGGCAATATAGTGTGTGTATATATATA